ACCCCCAATTTCATTGTTACAAATTGAACATAATTAAAGCATAGTGATTAATCACAAAAACAATATGTAATGATATATGTGTTTTCCGATGGTCTTAGGCGACTCCTGTGAAAGGGTTGTTCGACCCCCAACGGGGTCGTGACCCACAGGTTGAGAACCACTGGTCTAATGGGAGGTGAAAGTGTCTGGAATCAAACCTGAAGATACAGAGGAAGTCCTAGAGCAGGAGCTTTGTCATAGGGTCCCCTCCAGCCGTGGCCCCAGGCCTTGACCTCGGATGGTGTGGGGAGGACAGAAGATGGGGTGGGGAGGACAGAAAGGTGGCCGCAGGAACTACCTCCCAGAACTTTCCTACCTGAGGAGGCTGCTAAGCCAGAGACAAGGGCAGAGAAGGGGCTACATTTTTCCCCAGACAGATCAAAACAGTGATAATTGGGCAGCTCGGGGCAGGATAGTTAATGTTTGATTCGAGTCATGTAAAGGTAGAAGATGAAAGAGACTGGCTTAAATGTATTCTGCCCGAAGCAGCTCTTGGAGGTTGCTTTGCTTTTCTTTACCCCCAAAGAAGAGGAAGGGAACAAAGTAAAAGTCTGTATAATTGAGCAGTTACCCTCAATCTCTAACTTGAAAAATGTAGAGTTCATTTGCAGTGCTTAAACATCCAATGTTAGAAAATCGTCGCTCACCCAGTGAGAACAAACTCCTTAGACAGAGACACGAAGATCTGTACAAAACATCCTCCCCAATTTCTGAATGTAAGGTGATACGACACTCAGAACACTTCAGAACTTTCTGTCACATAAAAGTCCTTGAAAAGGTCCGAGTTTGAAAAGAAGCCTTCTTTTTTCTTAGAAAATCAGAGCCAAATGACCACGGGCCCTGGGAAGTTTGTTTGAACTGTGCTGGGTAACTGGCCTTCAGATTCTTGCCAGTAGCCCTGGGTGATGAATTGGGTTGGAATAAAGAACACTTGGTCATTCTCTTCAACCCTTAGGAGAATACATGAAGCCCAGTTAGTGAATAAGCAAAAAGATGCCTACACTTTTTGTTTTTCTAACTCTGTAAAAGTTTTTACTTCCTATGATTAACTGAACCCATAAGTACAAATTGGTTTTAGTTGTACTGGAAGGTAGAATAGCTAATAAGAGACAAACTGAACCCCACTAATTCGGGCCACCTTCTCAGAATGGGCCCAGCCTTGTTCACCATCAACTCCAGAAGCTCATCTGCAGAGTTCGAATCTTTAGAAGAGCTAGGGAGAGTTTTCTGGGGACTTTTCTGGTGTGCTTTTCTAAGCCCTGGTGCACAGATTAGTTTGTATTGCTTTAAAAATTTTTATAAGAGGAACGCGTGCTATTAGCAGAAGTTTCTGAAGTAATCAGAACCTCCCGGGGTAACCACTGGCAATTGCTTGCCGTGTATCCTAACAGATCCTTAACAGTATATATATGCACATATACTGAGCTGTATGTATAATTACCCGAATGGAACTTTCCTATGCACACTGTTCTGAGAATTCCTTTTTTCCCCACCCAACAAAATACCATGAACATTGCCATACCCGCTCACCTGCCTGCCTTTTTTTCCTTTGAATTGCTGTGTGGTATTTCATAGAACAGGTGTCCTGTGGTATTATTGAGTCATTTAACAGGCAGTCTTAGGTGGTAGACCTGGGCTCTGTGTTTGCAGGTGGCATTTTAGATGTGTAAGTATAAATCAGGTGAAAGTGTTGCACTGAGAGTGGGGAGAATGGAGACCAAGTTGCAAAGCTGTGTAAGCATTTGAGGGCCCTGTATTGTGAAGGTTTGGGTTGCATGGGGGTAGAAGCATAAGTTAATGCTTCTAGAAGCCACAGGAGAGTCACAGGGACCAGACATCCTTCCACTGCAGGGATGTGGTCCCTAGGACAGCCCTCTGTCTCTTGGTGAGGCTTCAGACACCAAGTCTCCGGACTGTGCGTAAAATGGGTGGGTTTTCTGCTCACTCTGTCTGCTCAGACTGCATTAGGATTAGCCAGAGAGCGAGGGCAGTGAGTCTGAGCAGGTCAGCCGCCGGGAAGGTAGTGTGTCAGTGCTGGGCTTTTATGCAGTGTTGGATGTGATGATCAAAACAGCAGCGTGGGGACCCTGGGAGAACAGTGCTGCAGGTGAAAGTGAACTGTGGCCTCCGAAAAGCACTGTTGGTGAACGGGCTTGAGGATGGCTTTGTGGCGGGTGTGTTTTTGTGCTTGGTGGAGAGAGCTGTTTTGGGGGATGTCACATCAGTCCCTACCTGTCCAGCCCAAGCCCTAATGCACTTCACAACACTTGGGACACAGACAAGATAAAGGGCAAGATCACCCCAGTTCTAGGCCCCAGAAAGCCATTCAGAAAGAGGTTGCATTAGGCTCCTCACCAGATGTCACATCAGCCCCTACCTGTCCAGCCCAAGTCCTCATGCAAACCTTATAACACTGAATGTCAGCAGGTGGAGGTAGGGGAGTGGCAGACAGGCAGCCTTAGTAGGGGACACATTTCTGGACCTCCACTTGCTGACATTCAGTTCCCACCTCAAGCACCCTCAGACCCCCTGGCCCCAGCCCACCCAGTTAACCCTTCACTTCCTGAACTACCAGAGTCCTCTGCACATACTTCCCCGTACAGCTTTTACCCTTTGCTCTTTTATTTTATATTTCTTTGTGGAAAAGGTGCTCAGCTTTTCCACCCCAGAGCCCACCCAAGGCCCTCCACCAGGCAGGAGGCAGTGTGGCTAAGTGCTGAGAGCATGGGCTCTGAGTCACAGTCCTGACTCCAGGCCCAGTGCTGCCACTTTCTAACAGATTCCCCAGGATTAGTCACCTGGGGACCAGGGAGACCAACCAACTTCTGGTGGACACGTGCGACATTTTAACTGCCCTGCTCTTCCCAACTCCACCTTCCCAGCCAACAGGCAGATCCAGCAGGGTCCTTGCTTCCCTGGTCTCATAGTTGGGCAGGTGACCTAACGGACCAATCCCAGCCTTCCCTGGGATCCTCTGAATTGGGAGTGAGGAGAAAGAGGCAGGCATGTGTTGGTGAAACTGAGATATGAGGTCAAGAGCCCAGGGAACATTAGAAGGATGCTCATCTGAAAATGGGAAGCCACCACTCCAGCAGAGAGAAGCAAGGGTCAGAAATAGCAGATGGGGTGGGATTTGTGTCTCTGGTTCCAAGGAACCTCCATCCTTCATGGGGCGTGGAGCCATCCCTTTCTGAACCAAGTGACCAGGACATCTTACAGACTGTTTTGGTATAACTTCACAGTTTGCTTGAGTGTCTTTCCACTTTTGCAGACCGGAACTAAATGCATGTGTTTTTTTTTTGTTTTAATCTTTATTTTAGCATCTATGTCATGGGCTTGGTCCTGGAGTGGATTAAGAACAACGGTGGTGCAGCAGCCATGGAGAAGCTCAGCTCCATCAAATCGCGGATGATTTATGATATCATTGATAATTCTGAAGGATTTTATGTGTAAGTCGATGGATTTTTCTCTCACATTTTGTCTCTTTGTGAATTTAGAAATGTGTATATCCCAAGGAGTTTTGGCAAATGGGTGCATTCATCTTTCTCTGGGACATTGAGGTGCTGGTGAACTGGGTGGGGGAACTCTAAATACAGAGCCTTCATTCCTCCATCTTTTAGGTCTCCCCCACTCCTCTTAAATTAGCTATGCTTTTTATAATTGGTCCCTCATGGTGGGAGCCTGAGGCAGCAGAATGTCAAAAGAGGGTATCCACTGAGTTTTTCATTTAAATGTCAACTGTGACACCTACCATTTTGTGAGAAGGGGTGGGCGGGTAAATTGAAGGTTCAAAGCCTGTTACCAGATACCTGGTTTCCCTCCTTGAGTCTCTTCTGCATTTAGGTGTGCATGTGACGCCTATTAACTAACAGGAATTGTGGATGTACCCTCAGGGGAGAGTGTGACTTTAATGGGGGCTTCCTCACACTACTTTTATTTGCTAATTTTCATGAATCCCACTCTGAGAAGTGAAAGACTAAGACAGGAAGTATTGGAAAGTGGAGAAAGAGGGTTATTACATATTTAACTTCTCTTTTATTCCAGAGGAGTATGTCGGTTCCTCTGACATTTGCCACTTTGGGTTGTCAATGGAAAATAATTTTGGCTGCTTATTTTCCAAATCAGAAACTGAAGTCCTAGATAAAAAATTCACTCACTAGTTTTGAGAGTCTGTACAAGCCCTGTCTCTCTGTGTAAGGTGCTGGGAATAAAAAGATGAGTTGATTGAATTTAACTGTTCTAAATTGTTTCTGTTTCCTATTTTTGCATCACAAAACACCCCAAGATAGTGGCTTAAAATGACAACCATTTTCTTTGCTTGTGACTTCTTGGGTCAGCAGGTGGGGCCGGGCTCAGCTGGGGGAGTTATTCTGCTGCCCCCACGTGGGATCGCTTATTCAACCGAAATCATCTGGTGACTCACCTAGAGCCAGGGGTCCAAACTGGCCTCAGTCACATGTGTAGGAGTTGGTGCAGGCTGTTGACTGGGCCTCTTATCTCCAGCAGGCTAGCTCTGCTTACTTAATGGAAGCAGTGTTTTAAGAGGGCAGGGCAGGTGTAGAAGCTGCATATGCCCCGTGAGGCCTGGAAGTTGTGCAGCATTGCTTCTGTTGCAGTCTCTTGGTCAAAGCAAGTCACAGGCCAGCCCAGATTTAAAAGGTATGAAGAACTAGACCCCACCTTTGCTCGGAGGGCTGCGGAGAATCTGTGGCTGTTTAAAAATATACCACAAACATTTTCTGCAAATATACTTAATCCTCACATCATCCTTATGTGAGGTTCCATTACTCTTCCTATTGTTCAGTGAGGAAAGTGAGGTACAACAGAGAGGTTAGTAACTTGCTCAAGGTCACACAGCTTGAGGCAATGCAGTGTGACAAGTGCTTTGAGAAAACCGCTGCTCATTATATATTTTGAAGTCTTCCAAACACTATGAGGGCCAATTGTTTTTCTCTGCAGCCTTCTAGAGAAAGCCACACAACAATGCAGTGTGACAAGTGCTTTGAGAAAACCACTGCTGATTATATATTTTGAAGTCTTCCAAACATTATGAGGGTCAAATTTTTTTTCTCTGCAGCCTTCTAGAGAAAGCCACACATTGCTGTGTGGCTGCCATGTGTTGGAAGCTTCATACATGTTGTAACACTCAACTGTCACAACTAGCCTGAGATGGAGGTGTTATTATTTCCAATATTCAGATGAGGCAATGGGTGCTCATGAAAATTAGGTACAAGTCATACAAGAGAATGCTCAGTCACTGTTCCTTATGCTAGAGGCGTCTCCCTAAGTAAATTATAAATGTCCTGGGGCACAGCTTTTTCCTTAAATCCCATTTGCATCTAGAAAATGTTTAAACATTTTTTCTCTGTTCATTTGTTAATGGCAGTTGCACTTTTTAGAAAAGTCACTGGACTAATAAACATGTTTCTCAGGTGTCCAGTGGAGCCCCAGAATAGAAGCAAGATGAATATTCCATTCCGCATTGGCAACGCCAAAGGAGATGATGCTTTAGAAAAAAGATTTCTCGATAAATCCCTTGAGCTCAATATGATCTCCTTGAAAGGGCACAGGTGAGTACGCATCCAGTCCAGAAGCCTGCATCCAGTACAGAAGCCCGGCAGAGAATGGGTTTAGCTTTTCAAATGCAGAGTAAAATGCCTGCCCATCTCTGAGTAGCAGTTATTATAACTTGGGAAAACCAGTTGTCACAGGGATAACTCTTTTTCCTGTTACTTCCAGAGCTCTTAGCACGATTCCCTTGGTGAGAGCATGGAGGAGCCACATATTCCAAGGACTTTTGTTAAAATTCCCCTTGAAAATGCTGTGATGAGATCTTATAGCACAGGGGTTGCCGTCCCATGTCTGATGAGGGGTTACAGCCCCGTTCGGTGTAGGCAGATCACTGGTGCTCCAGCTGAGTGTCAGGTGGAGCAGTCAGTCTTGCAGGCTCTATGAAAAATACACGTCCTCACCACATGGGAGGCAGGACGCGTACCCTGCAGTGGTCCCGGCTCCCTGTTTCCGTTGAGCTAGGTTATGTGTGAGTCGATAGACCTTCGCTGCATCAGGGAGAATTTTCTAATGACTAGATGTCTGAAGCTCCCAGCCACCTGTGGGGGTGACTGGAAAGAGGGTTTGTCTCGATGCTAAATTAGATGCTCTTGTTAATGGGGGTACCTTTGGTCCTTCTAGGTCTGTGGGAGGCATCCGGGCCTCTCTGTACAATGCCGTCACGATCGAAGATGCTCAGGAGCTGGCAGCCTTCATGAAGAAGTTTTTGGAGATGCATCAGCTGTGAACACATCCTAACCAATCTATATTCTACCCTTGAACAATGTCCCACGTTTAAAGTAACTTAATGGCTTCAAAGATTTTACCATGGTAGTTTTCTCAAAGGAACATGCTTATTATAGATTCTTCCCTCCCTACCCCTCCGCCAAAAAACCCCCCACAAAACAGCGCAAAATGCACAGTTCTTCAAAGCTGGTGGGACATAACAGACACCTTAATTTTGACTTGAAATGAAAGCATTTAAAAAATCTTTCTTTAGCTTTTCTAACAATCCCACTTTTATGTTGTCCTTGCTGCTACGTTTTCTAGCTAGATCTTAGTATTCAGACTTGCCTGTGGACTTACTTACACAAAGTGCAGTTAATGTTCCTGGAGACACACGAACACGTAGCATTGAGGGCGGGTGGGGTCTGCTAGGTGCTGAATTCTGATCCTTCCCAAAATGGCAGCTGTAGGGGCTCCTGGGTTCCACAGGGATTAAATCGGGTCAACCTTGACCATGGGTGAGTGTTCAGGAGTTCTAGGCTAAAGGGCCAATTGGAGATCTTAATACTGTTACTCTCGTAAAGAGATAAAAGTGACATACCAATACGTTTATATAGCAAAGTCTGTTTTTAATACCAAATAGTTTATATCTCTATGCATTTATATTTCTAATAATGTGGTTCTTAGTGATCTATGTAGAGTCTTTGGGAATTTGTTAAGAGTCCTTGACATTCTGCATTGTTTTTTCAACAGTTGTTTCTTCTCCCCTCCCTCCTACCTTTGGAAGCTGCTTCACAAGATTTAGAAGCTCCCCGATTCACTTGTATTTAGGTGGAAGAGAAGGTTGGTTGGTTATTTTTTTCAGTTATGCCGTGAAACTAAAAAAAATCTTAAACTCCCTTAGCGTTTGTTCACTTGACTATTCTCGTTAATTGTGTTTGACCAGAGTGATGCCGTGAGTTCTGGAAGATCCTTGCTGGAGAGTCTTGCCCCTGTTGTTTATCCATTGTCAGTATTTGATGTTGAGTACGTGACAGATATTAAAGTCCTAAAACACCTAAACCTTCGTCAGTGAATTTCTTTACCTGCTTTTAAGATTGTTCTTTTTCAAAACTTTATGATGGGAAAACTTGAGTTTAAAAATAACATCCGATAGGGTATTTAATTTAGTTCAACCAAAGGTATAAAACTTGAGTTCAGTGTGTCCATTTAAAAAAAATAATCTATTTTAAAAATTGATTTTAGAGAGGGAGGGAGAGGAGAGAGAAACATCAATTGGCTGCCTCCTGCACACCCCCTACTGGGGATTGAGCTTGCAGCCTGTGACCTTTTGGTGCATGGGACGACATTCAACCAATAGAGCCACACTGACCAGGGCAAGCATTCCTTGATCTCAAAAGCTGGTGAGCTATTAAGTCTCTCTTTGAATTCAGCAAAAGGACTCAGCGCACTGCGTTAGCTTTCCATTGGCTTTTGGAATGGACATTATCAGCAAAACCACCTTCCAACATACTCATAACTCATGGTGTAAAGTCCCATGAACTCAGGCCAGAAACATGCTAGTAGGATGGTGTTGAGCTGTCTGTGTGCTTCGTTGTACTGTGTAATGAGGACTGGACTGGTCTCCCATCTGTCTAGTCAGGGCTAAAACTCCCAGTCTTGGTTTTCTCATCTATAAAAGGAGGATTGAAATGATTCCCCCCACTTATCTCAGGAATGTTTAAAAATTTACAAGGGCTCAATGCAGGATGTGAATAATAACCACAATAAAGGTTTAGCCAAAGCCAGCCGGTCCATGGGATCCAACTAAGTGTTCCCATAGAATAGAGTCAACCTCGTCCTCAACCTTCCATTTGATGGTTGCAAGCCCTGTGGTTTGTACCAGCCCTGAGTTCCCTAAAACTCCACTTGTGTCCATTCCCATTGCCATGGCCAGCTCTGCTGTTGGTTCTCAGCAGAATGTTTCACCAGCCAGTTGGACAATTAATTTCCCTTGTGCTCCTCCTTGATATCAATTCCAGGCTTCTTAGCCCAGCAATCGCAGCTTCTTTTGTTTATGGTTCTTAGAATGTGGCATGAATTTGCCCAAGTGACACATTAGCTGGGAGGTCCTGCCCAGACTCATCCGGATCGATCTTCAAGACACCTGTCAACCTCCTGACTGTGTCTCTCCTCCCTCAGAACAATGCTCTTTCCCCATTTAATCCATTGCAGCACCTTCATTCTGTTCTTCTCTGGACTGGGTGCTTATCTGCCTTCTCCAACAGAGCAGCAAAGAGGGAGCCGTGTTTCTCGTTTGCCATCTCTGGCATCCTGCTTTGCCCTGAGGAGGTGCTCAACACTGTTTAGTGAATGAAAAGTCTTATCCCGGTCCTGTTGGTCTTCCTGCGTTTTGCAAACAGCCTGGAGTAAGAGGCAGAGTTCTAAATCTCGTGTGGGGATTTTTTAATGTTCAAAAGCTTAAATATAAAATTTAATTTTCCACTAAAGTGATTAGATATGATTGGTTAAATGAGTAAATTTCAAATCTTGGAGGGCTTCTAGACTCATAAATCTGTGAAAGCCTTTGGAAAATGGTCAGCAACCGCATCCATCCAAACACAAATGGTAGTCCCTGTTTGGATACAGATTGCTGGAAGGTACTCATTGATTGAAAACCGTGACCTTTGTAATTTAATTTTCCACTAAAATGATTAGATATGATTGGTTAAATGGGTAAATTTCAAATCTTGGAGGGCTTCTAGACTCATAAATTTGTGAAAGCCTTTGGAAAATGGTCAGCAACCGCATTCATCCAAACACAAATGGTAGTCCCTGTTTGGATACAGATTGCTGGAAGGTACTCATTGATTGAAAACCGTGACCTTTGTATGTCTCAAGTGAATGAACTGATGCCAGCCAGTCTGCTGACACGTGGAGAGAGTAGAAGGGGAGATAAGAGGGCTCCTGGGTCAGCAGGCTGCGATGGGAGCCAGAACCAGCGAGTCTTCCATTAAGATTACAAATGGTAGATAAACTTGTGCCTTGGGGAACTTGTGTAAGGGTAGTGGCCTTGTGTTCCTTTCAGGTCCTCCAATTTGTACTTCTTCCCCTCAACTGGATTTGAAGTGTGATTTTCCTCTCAAAGTTCTTGACAACTCATAATCATACTAATGTCATCCAAGTGAGGAAAATAATTGTGCCCATGTTCCTTGTGTTTATTTCCAGGTACTCCTTCGTCAGTAACACGGAGGTTCTGTTCTTTGCACAAGAAACAAAGTTGTGTTATGTGCCTTAGTCTTCATTTCCCCACTAGTCTATCTCAATATCTAATGCCCTCTCATCACCACTTAGCTGAAGATGGAAGGTTTGCCAAGCCCTTAGGTGAACTATGTGCTGTAACAAATAATTATTTCCTTCCTTAGAGCTGAAGGAGACACTAAGACCCATAAAATGGACAAGACCCATTGCTAGATGTCCAGTTCTGCCCAGGGCATTAGCAGGTCTGGCCTTGTATCACTCCATGATTAATGTTGGTTGTATCATGTTCTTTGGAAGGAAAATAAACAAAAAATTTTCTCACATTTGATCCGAATGAACATAATTAAAGATGAAATGCAACTGGGTCTGCAAAGAAATCAGTCACTTTAATTGGAAAGAAGATTCCTTGCCTCTATCAGTAATTGGGCCCTTGGTAATTTAAAATCAGAATCCATGACAATTTGTGACAAATTGGCTCCTTTTGGGCTAGAAAAGGTAAGAAGTTTTAATTACCTCTGGATAATTCCAGAATGGATGGCAAAGCTTAATCAGAGAGATATTGAGAGAGAAGCTAGTAGTGAGCGTAGAGTTATTGAATTTCTTTTTAAGTAAAATAGCTCATTTGCTGTGACAAAATCAAGAGCTTGTGGTATCTGAAGTCCCAAAGATGTAAATTGGATTTTCTAAGAAAATAGGGAACTTGGCATATAAGAAAAAGTTTCCGTACACAAAAGTTCCATAGTTAGGTTATAGAAGTTAGCCTTACATTGACAACGTTGGGCCTCCCTTGGGGGCAAGTATGGATTTTGTACTTTGAGTGTTAAACATATAAGTGATAGGCACTAAGTTTAAGAAAGCCTGAAGGTCATTGCTGGTGTTTTAGCCTTTGTTTCTTTAGTTTGCCTAGGAAAACCTGAGGAACAGGCTGGATTTTAGGTTGACACACTCGGTTATAAACTTATTTTGAATTGTGTGTGTTTATTTTCTATATCTGTATAGGTATAGATATAGGTATAGCTAGATACAATTTCAAACAGAAAAGTTGCAGGATTAGTATAAAGAACTCACATATGTTTAATCTAGATTCATCAATTATTAACATTTAGCTTCATTTTCTTTGGTATTCACTCTCAATTAAAACTTCTTTCCCCCCTGAATCACTTAAGGATAAGTTGGAGACATTGTGCCCCTTCTAAACAGTGATGGTTTCCTAGGAGCAATGGCATTCCCTGACATAACCACAGTCTAGTGATCTAAGTCAGAACTTTAACATCAATGCTTTAAACTCATCTACAGTCCATATTCAAAATTTTGCCACTGTTCCAGTAACAGCCTTTATAGCTTTTTTTTTCTTTTCTTTTTTTTTTTAGCCCGGGAACCAGCCCACATACATGCATTGCATTTAGTTCTCATGTCTCTTTAGTCTAAATCTGAAACAGTTCTTCAAGTTCTTTGTTCTTCAGGTTATTGGCAGTTTGTGAAGACTATGGACTGGCTGGTGTATAGAATGATCCCCAATCTGGGTTTGTCCTGTTTTACGCATGATTGTTTCAGGTCATGCGTTTTTTGCAAGGGTGCCATTGTGTCCTCAGTGCATCCCAACAGGTGTGTCATTGGTGTCTTGACTAAGGTGGTGCCTCTGAGGTTTCTCCATTGTCAAGTTGTTATTTGTCGCTTTGTCATTAATAAAAAAAAATTATGGAGCTATTTTGAGACTCGATCCTGTTCTTCATCAAACTTTTCCCTAAAAAGGATAAAACAGTTAGATTTATGTGATGTAGAAGGTGAAGTGATTTGCTTATTTTCTAGCAATGCAAAAAATAAAATAAATAACAACCTTAAAATATATGCAAAAGTATCCAAAAAAGTATATTGGGAAGTCAAAAGCTGGAGGATATATAGTCCAGGAGCCCTGAGAGTAACAAGCATGTTTTGAGAATGTGAATAGTGTGGGCCAGTGTGCTTTTGGTGAAAGAGGGGAAAGCATCTCCTGGTCAGGATTTAGGGACCGACTTGTAGAATTTTCCTTAAGTCAAATGTGTTGTCTGTTTTTTCTCTCAATATTTTTAGAAGCACAACCCTTTGGCAATGCAGACTCCTAATGGCTAGATCATGAACCACACAGCCTGATTATGCTTTGAAAGATGTCATATAACAACCTAAAGTTAAAGTTGTTTCTGATGATTCTAGCCTAGCAAAATAGCCTCCAAGAGAAACAGAACATCTTGGCTTCCATCAAGCCAGGTAAAAAAGCCAAAGGCATCTTAAATGCCTGAGAAATGAAACTTGAGTTTGAAATATGAGAAATATAAGAAGTTACAGGTCATTCTTGGGGTTGGGACGGGGGTATGAGGGGTGGGGGAAGGGGAATAGTTATCCAGCAAAGTGAAAGGTACCTAGAGTCTAAATCATTCCTTCCTGCTCCTGCCCCCACTTTAAAACCATAGTTTCTTTAGGTTGAAGGCAGAATCTTTAGTTCTTGGGAAATGACAGCTGAGCAGGTTAGTAACCTCAGATAGCAACCATTCTATTATAAAATACATTAGGGAAAATACTTTCAAATTTCTGATGCATTTAAAGCTAGGGTAGTCTTACGCATTTTCTAAAGAAATGTGTTGGGTTTTTGTTTTTTTATTGATTTCAGAGAGGAAGGGAGAGGGGGAGAGAGAAACATCAATGATGAGAGAGATTCATTGATAGGCTACCTCCTGCATGCCCCACTCTGGGGATCAAGCCCACAACCCGAGCATGTGCCCTGACTAAGAATCAAACCGTGACCTGGTTGATGCTCACACTGGCTGGGCTAAAGGAATATGTTCAAA